CGCTGCTCAGGGCAGGGGTGGGGGGTAAAGTTTCCTCATCCTCCAGGGCCTCGGGATTTGCGGGAGACAGAGATGGGACTCAATGGGCACTGCGTGGTGGAGAATCCCCTACCCACCCCTCAGGACAGCACCCCCACCTCCAGCCCGGGATTCCAGTGTCCTGCGCCTGGTGCTCAGGGGACCAGACCCGGCCCACTCCATCACCCCTACCCAGCTCCTTTCCGTAGCGCCAGTGTTTGCAGTTTGGAAATCGCAAGTCTTCTTCCCCAGAGATGGTAGGGAAAAGCATCCACTGCCCATTGGCCTGCCACCCTCATCCGCTCTCCAACTGGAAGCGTCCAGTGGACAGCCCAGGCCCCCCTGCTGTCTGGGAGGGAAAGGCCCCTGGTGCCCCTGCTTCTCGGGGTCCAGCAGGGTTCCATCTCCGTTCCACCTCGGAGCACAGCCTTGGAGCCCTGTGCACTGGCCCATGAAGGGTGAGGGCAGTGACCCTGGCCCACTCTCAAGGGCAGTGGGCAAGGGACAGTGAGGAGGGTCTTTGGAGGGTCCATGGAGAACAGACCCATGGCGTCTTCTATGGAGATGCCCGGAGTGCCCCAGCCATCCCCAGGGAGGAGCTCCACCCTCACCAGGGGGTCAGGGTGGCACCCTGAGGGAGAGCAGCAAGTGCTCAGGGGAGGGAGTTCTGTGTGGCCAAAGCTCCTGGAGGGGAGAGGGCAGCGGCATTTCAGTCCCTCTGTGGTCCCTGCATCTCCACTGATGTCCCCAACATGGAGGCTCTGCAGCAGCTACTGAGCCACAGGATGGGGCCTGGGGGAGGGCGGCGAAAAAATGTGGCAAAGCAGTTCCTGCCCGTGCAGCTTCCATCCCCTCCCCCAAGGCCAGGGCTGCTCGGGGCAGTAAGAGCCTCAGGACCCCCTTGAGCTCCCCAAACTCAATGCAGGCAGCAGCTTCCATCAGCACAACCTGCCCTCCGCACCCCTCCCGACCCTCCGATCTTCCTCCCTGCTTGACCCTCTCTGCCAGGAGTCCTGAGCCCTTCTAGCCTCACCATGACTTACAGGACCCTGGGGCTGCTTCTGTGCACTGACCCCACTACTCTGGGGGCAGGGCCTGTAGTCAGAGCTGCTAAATGCTCAGCCCTGCACAGGGCCGGTCCCACGGGGATCACTGCTCCCCTCAGTGCTTCCCAGAACTGGCCAAGCATCTTGCATGTGTGGGCTCTCAACTCCCGTGCACCCCTGTGGGGGGCTCTTTCCTGTCCCTGCTATAGAAAGAGGAGACAGGTGAAGAGAGGTTAGGCAGCTTGTCCAAGAGCACACGACAGTCCCTTGACTCCGCCCAGACCTCCTGGCCCCAGGGATTGAGGTGCCAAGGGCCTGTCTGCCTGCATCCTTGCTGGACCCAGGGAGGTCCTTGCTCCTGGACCTCCACTACCCAGACTCCTAACAGGCCCCCTGCGGAGCCAGAGCCTGGGTTCCTCAGTCCGTCATCCCCTCCATGAGCCAGCTCTACCCTGGGCATCAGGGAATCTCTTAGTGGAACTGCAGACCTGGACCAAACGCTATCTGCAGCTGGGGTGAGGGGCAGTGAGGCCCAGGGGCTGTGCTCAGGCCCTCCCTGGTCACCTGCTCAGGCAGTGGAGGGTGGCTGGGCTGGTGACTCCCGCAGGGAGAGAGCAGGAACTGAACATGGCGTTCATACCCCCTCCTCCCGGTGAGATTCTGGGGCTTCAGGAGGTCACTCAGTGACTCAGCACTGCTTGCTCAGCAATTTGCAGACTCCATCCCACATTCTTCGTGCATGTGTGTGACTGTGGGTATGGCTGGGTTACTGAGGACTGAACTCAGGGTCTTCCCCTTGAGCTACACCCCCAGCCCTTGTTGTTATTGTCTATTTTTGAGTCAGGGTCTCTTAAATTGCCCAGGCTGTGCTCAAACTTTCAATCCTGCCTCAGCCTCCCAGAGTGCTAGGATCACAGTCATGCAACCCAGACCCTACCGCCTTTACTTATTGGTAAGAAGGCCAGCTGTGCTCCTGGCACCCCTGTGAAGATGGCTGGCCCTGCTCTGCCTCGGCAGTTGGGGCAGGTAGGGCAGAAACAGGGCCTCCCAGGCTCAGTGTGAGGGGTACCGTGTCCCTCAGGTGAGGATGCTTCCCCTGCTCTGTACTTGGGCTGATGGTTTTAGCCTGTACACTTCTCAAAGCAGGGCCTCTGAAGTTGCACTGGAATCATGGTATGAAGGGGTGCATGGTGAGCCAGTGACAGTGGAGGCCTCTGGCAGAGAGGCGTGGAGGAACACAGCCCCGCAGTTGGGGGCATCCTCTTGGCTGGGCACAGGGAGCCTCCTGGGAAGTCTGTTTGAAGTCCACGGTCAGAGGCACATTGGAGCTGGGGCAGAGCCTCGGGTCTATGTTCCTCAGAGCCATCTCCGAGCAGCTGGTTCCAGAGGCCTCAGGTCACTCACTGAGACCTCACCTGAGGCCCTAGCCAGGCCTGGTTCTGCCCAGGCGGAGCTGGGACTTGCCTGGAGCTGGTGCAGGGCAGCGCTGAGCTGGAGCAGCCGGGAGGCCGCTCCACTGCTTGTTTCCTCTGGGCTGTTTCTAGCAAGGAGACCAGTGTGGCCGGCCTTCCACGCTTTCAGGTGCACCTGCCGGGAGTTCACCCAGCACCCAGTGAGGCCTGATGAGAGGCCAGGCTGGGGTCAGCACCGCCTCAGGGCCTGGCCACACAGCCCTGTTGTGGCATGTGCTGGCTCACACGCAGCTGTCCTACCGAGGTGGCTCTCCCTGTGGATCGGCTAATGCGGCGAGATTAATCGCATCTAACTCATTAATTTGCTCAGCCTCTCCCTCCCACCTGGCACCCGAGAGCACTGTTTCAGAGCCATTAATCAGGGCTCTGACTTGGGTTCTAACTGCAGGTCCAGAAAAGGAAAAGCCCAACTCTGAAGTGCATAACTGCTGTGGGGGAGGATGTGGTGGCCCTGAGCAGGGACTGCGGCCCCAGGGGTGGGGTTGTGCAGCTGCCCCTGAGAGTGCCTGGCCTGCCGGCTGTGTCACACCCTTCTAGGCCGTTGCTGCCCCACCAGACAATCGTTGCTGTTTCTGCAGGCAGGCACAGGCCTCTGAGGGGATGCTCCCCTCCCTCTCCCTGCCCTTTCTACCTTCCACCCTGTCCCAAGGACATTTCCATGGTAACCATCTGCTGGCATAAATGGGGATTCGTGTAAAGGTGGGTGCTTTGGGGACAATCTGCTGGGTCCAGGCTGCACCGAGGAGCCAAGGGGGAGACACGGTTGACACGAGAGCTGAGGCTCCGCCAGCCAGCACCTGATCTGCATGGCCCCGGTGGGCTTCTTCCCCGCCAGGCTTTCATCAGGCCCCACCACAGGGAGAGACAGCTGCCCCCACCAGGAAGCATTCGCCTCGTAGAGGACCCTGCCCTGTGCACCTCCATTTCTCCCGAGCCGCCCCCCACACACAGGGAGAGCGCGGCCAGTTTCCAGATGTGCTTCCTCCAGCTCCTCTGCACCAGGAGCATGTTTGCATCTCTTCATCACCAAAATCCCCACGCAGGAGCCCGCGCTGGGCGGCTGGCTGGGCGGTGCGCACGTTGGCTGTGAGGACGGATTAACAGCTGAAGGGCAGAGGGAGAGGCGCTCACACGGACCCGGGCAGGGGTGAGAGGAGCCGCAGAGCCCAGGACGGAGGAGGCGGGCTCACGTTTGGTCAGGCAGGAGTGAGGACACGGGCCTGGGGGGCAGTGCTGTCATCATACTCATCTCTCCATCGTCCTCAGGAGTGGTCACCCACCGACTTGGCAAGGCCTCCCGCAGTCTCCCGATCCGAGGGCCAGCCCACTGCCCGGCCAGCCCCAAGAGCTGCTCTTGCCCCATGACAAGACACCCCGGGGTGCCCACTGTGGCGGTGCCGCTTTGTTCCCAGCCCATCCCAAGTCCCTCCCACACTGCTCCTCCGAGGCAGGAGGAGTGAAGAGGCCCGGCCAGGCCGCTTTGCCCTCTTTCGCACCGATCGCACCCCTGGGTCAGAGCCCTTCAGCACCACCCAGGCCTCCCTGCCTCGTCAGCCACTGGCCAGCACTCCGCACTGCAAGTGTCTTCCTGGTGGGAAGGGGACCTCAGAGCCCCACTCACCCTGCCTCCACCTGTTCTTTCCAACAAAAGTTTTAGAAACTGTGAAGTGCACTGTGAAGTGCACATGAGACTGGGCCTTCCTGCACAGGCACTGCCTCCCTGAAGTACCCTCTTCCTCCCCCAGCTGCTGGTGCTTCTACCCCAGGCGCTCCTCCAGCAGGCGCTTGGGTGGCGGGCGTGGGAAGGCGTCGGCCAAGAGTCCCTGTCTTTCCCAGCACCAGTTTGGACACAGCAGATGTTTTCCTATGGGAGGCAGGGACAGCATCACAGAAGAGAGGTCCAGGTCTTTCCAAGACTCGAGCAGTCACCCAAGTTCTGGCAGAGGCCCAGAAGCTGACCAGGGCTGGGTGCCACGGTGGAGTTTCTCCTGGCCCGTGTCTTTGGCGTGCTGCAGCCTTGCCTGGAGAAACATGCCATCCGCACCAGGAGCCGCACAGGCGTCCATCCTGAA